CCTGCACACGTGTGGGAGGGTCACGTGGTAATTTGAGGTTAGTTATCTCGTGGATGTTTATCAATACTTTTTATTTCTACTGAATCAAAGAGAAAATAGGACTAAATATTGGGAAAATGAGTCTTCAGAACCTGGTGGAAGGGTCTCTGGTGTCCAGGGTCTTAAATCCCTGAGTCATCCAATGACCCCTTCATTTGAAGACATCATGATGTGAAACTGTGGTTTTATTGATGATAACAGAGCACTGTCGTCCATAAAGAAGGAACTCGAAATAAACATCGTCAAACTCTGACACTTAGGAAACTTCCAGGGACGGGGAATTTAGATTTCGTGGCTGACTTTGGAGAAGAGGGGACCCCAGTATTCCAAAGCGGCTTGCTGTTGCATTTGTGCATTGCGAAGGTTTCTCGTGAGCGGGAATCAATGCTCTCCATTGATAACGGCCTCATAGTTTAAGAGATTATCGTCTCAGTAAAAATTCCGCAGAAAGAATTTGGCAGCTGTTCCAGCCTGTCGTCCGCCGTGACCGTGCGCTGGGAACGACTCTCATGTCGGATGGAGACACTCGTGGTTTCCTTGTAGGAGCTGTGCCTGGTACTTTTGGTTGTGTTCTGTGTCACGGCAGTTTGGACAAAAAGCTTAAATGTATTTTTCTTCATAACTGATAGAAATTGGCAGTTTTAGAAAGCACACTTGTGGGCCTTTCTTAAAGTCTGGGCCCTTGGTCCAGGCAGGTGTGGAGTAACATTCCGTGCTTATAAAGGACTGCATTTGGTCCCATTGTATTTGAACTTCAGTCAGTCGGTCAGCCTGCCTGCCTGCCTGTCTTTCTTTCTTTCTTTCTTTCTTTCATTCTTGCTTTTTTGCAATAGAGCATGTGCACTCACCAGACAGACAGAGAGAGACAGAGAGACAGTGAGAAATCACCCCCCGGGGGGGATGGCCATGCCACAATCCCCTCTCCTCCATTCTCCTCTCGGGATCTTGGGCACGCACGCATATGCGCCTGGCGTCAGTTTAAGCCACTGAGTCCAGGATGCGAACTGCAGTCGACTACATGGGAGTCCAGCGACGTAGCCATTACGCTAACTGCTGGTCCCTTTCTTTCTTTCTTTTTTAATTGTTAGAGGTCCCATGCACTTGCCAGAGAGAGACTGAGAGACAGAGAGACAGAGAGAGAGAGAGAGAGAGAGAGAGAGGAAGAGAAACTACGACCCACTGAGGTGTAGTCACGCCACAGTCCCTTCTCCACTCTCCCTCTCGTTGGGGTTTGGGGCACACGTAACCTCTGCTTGTACGAACTTAAACTTTTCTTGACTGTGAAAATATCGCGGCTTGTCCTATTCAAACTAATCACATTTCATTTGTGATGTGTGCATTTCATTTTTTAGCTACCACATTGATGCTATTTGGGACAGTATACTTAAAATATGGTCCTTGATGAAGGTTGCTTGCTTCTCAGTGGTATTCCCCACCTAGAGCCTAATGTTTAGAGGTTAATGGATTGTTTTTTTTAATATAAAACAAGTTATTTATAGAATGACTCATTTTTATGTGATACTTCAAGTAACACATGTATGTAATTTACATATATTTCTTTTTTATTTTAGGTCCTCCAAGAAAAAATCTATTTACAGCTTTTAATGTGGGTAAGTGACCACTTTAAATATGGATGGGGAGAAAAAGAATCTTTTTGAAAGTTATCCTATTATTACATGTATTTAAGTTTATTTACAGTGGTTTTTCACTGCTTAGAAGTAGAATTTCATGGCTAAGATATGAACATACTTGCTCATGACCTGGACCAACCAAGCATTAAAATTCGGCCAGCGTGATTGGCAAGCCATCTGATGCACAAAAGGACGTTTTACTAATAATAGAGACTTGTAGTCTTTTAAAAGCTAATTTTATTAATATGGCCTAAATGAAATGGAAAATATAATTTTCCCAATATAAATGGTATTTTTTTAAATACCAAGTGTTGATCAACATCCATGAGATAATTAACCTCAATTTTTAAATCGAATCGCCTGTAATTGCTAAAGTATTAAGACCCAGTTCCAAGACATTTTACCGTCCAGCGGTTTACATCCTTCTGTTCTGTCCGTTTTCACACTTCAGACCCAGTTCCAAGACATTTTACCGTCCAGCAGTTTACATCCTCCTGTTCTGTCTGTTTTCACACGTTTATTAGACATTTGTCTCCTTCTACGACAGCTCCTGTACGCTTAGCCATCTGAAACATAACGGAGCGTCGGACATGTTGTCTCTCGAGAAGCCAGAGATTTCACCCGATGTGTTCACTCTAGTTTATATTTTTTGTTTGGGGTGAGAGGAGACATTTTTGCTATAGGGAGCGTGTGCTCGTCAGAGAGACAGAGAGACAGAAAGTGAGAAATAACCCCCGAGGGGATGACCACAATCCCTGCTCCATCTTCCTCTTGGGATTTTGGACACGCACGCACACGCACACGCACCCGGTGTGAGTTTTAAGCTGGACTCAAACTGCAGTCGACTACATGGGAGTCCAGCGACGTAACCCCGATGCCGTCTTCCGGTTCCCCTCTCTTTATACGTCTCCCAGACGTGACCTGCATTCTCTTATTTTATATACGGTAAATAGGCAGCTCTGTGGCTTCTAAGACCGTTGCAAATGAGAAGAAAATCATAAGAGAGAAAAGTCCTTTGACTACAATGTATTCTGCACCATGGCAGGCATTGGTTTAAGGATATGGTTGTGAGGGACCAGCAGGTGGCATGGTGATTAAGGGCACTGGACTCCCACATGGCTGACCACAGTTCAAGTCCTGGACCTGGTGGCTGACTTTTTCACTTTCTCTCTTTGTCTCACTCTGCCCCTCTCTGGTCAAATTAAAATAAATAAATAAATAAAGTTAAATAAAAAAGATATAATTGTGAGCCAGAAATGAATAAGGACTTTGTCTTCAGGGAGCTTATAGTAAGCATCGTCATTAATTGTACAAATGAACATGAATCACAGTTGCAGTGAGTCCTAGGCAGCCAGGCGGACGGGCGGGCTGCATGTTCCCGTGGGAGATGGCTGGATCGAAGGGTGTAATCTGGTGAGAGAAACCTGGGCAGGAGGAGTAAGGCGTCCATTCGCAACCCTCCTGTGTATAGCTAGTAATTGAAGAAAATCGAGTGGCTAACGTTACATGGGTCATAGCCTTCATGTCCCACCAGCTTTGTTCAGTTTCCTGAGCTTCATAAGGCAGGAAAGTGAGAAGGAATTAGAGCAAAATCGTTGCTCTTTTATAGGTTCTTGAAGTTAGAGAAGCTATTCACCAAGCAGAATGGTTTAAATTCCAACGGTTCCCAATAGCCCGAGTTTGAATATCCGTGGTTACTAAAGCTTTTCTCATTTAAAAAAGTAAACGAAACTGTTCTGTGCCCATTGAGTTTAAATTCTCTTTTCTTTTAAATTTCTAGCATGTCCTGTATTTAGGAGAAGACAGTGAACGCTCTGTAGAATGCCTTTATGTTAGAAAATAAGTATCCATTGTTAGAAAGCTGGATCATGTATGAAGTCTATGTTTAACTGAGGCATTTCAAGACTGTTTGTAAAGTTGGCAATACCTTCACATTCCCACCAGCAGGGTTCAAGGGGCCCAGTTTCTTTGCATCCTTGTCAACACTTGCTTTTCTCTGTATTTTTTTTTTTTTTTTTAACTAGCCATCCTGTTGGATGTGAAGTGTTACCTGACTGGGGTTTCAGTTTGCATTTTCCTTATGCTAATGATGTTGAGCGTTTTTATGTGTGTGCTTTATTGGTCATACTTATATCTTCCTTAAAGAAGTTCTATTTAAATTATTTGCCTACTTTTAAAATTGGGTTATTTGTATTATTGTTGGGAAGTAGGAGTTCTTTCTATGTTCTGGATATTAGGCCCTGATTACAGATATGGTTTGCAGAATTTTCTCCCATTTCGTGAGCTGTCTTTCACTTTTTTGATGGAAGCACAAATGGGTTTACTTTTGACAAAGTCCAGGTTTTTTTTTTTTTTTTTCCTTTTGTTTGTATGTTTGGTGTTTTATCTCATTCTGTTGTCTGATCCAATGTTATATTTTAGATTTAGATGCTTGCTTTCTATGACTATGGTTTTAGCTTTTAGACTTAGATCTTTAATCCACTTCGAGTTAATTTTTTTATGTAATGTGAGGTGGAGGGGGGTCCAATTTTAATCTTTCACATATAGACATCCACTTAAAAATACCGTTCTTTCCCTTCTGGAATGTCTTGGCACCTCTGTCAAAAATAATTGGCTGTGGATGTGAAGATTTATTTTTGGACTCTAAATTATATCCTGTGGACCTTTATGTCTATCTTCACCAACACTATTTGGTCTTGATTACTGTAGAGTAGTAAGTATTGTAATTAGGAAGTGTCTTCTTCTTTTTCAAGATCGTTTTGGTTATTTGGGGGCCCCTTGAATTTCCATATGAATATCAAGGCCATCTTGCCAATTTTTGTAAAGAATTCAGTTGAGATCTTGATAGGGATTACATTGAATCTGTAGATGAGTTTTGTCATGTTAACTATGTTAGATATTCCACTCCATGAATATGGAATGTCTTCCCATTTAACTAGGTATTACATAATTTCTACAATTTGTTTTTTTCTTCTTTTTTTTTTTTTTTTTGGAGAGGTTTTTGCTATGCGGGGTGTGCACTTGACAAAAAGAGAGAGACAGAGAGACAGAAAAGCAAGAAATCATCCCCCCAGGGGGGATGGCCATGCCGCAATCCCTTCTCTAACATTTTCCTCTCAGGATCTTGGGCACACATGCACATGTGCTTGGCATGAGTTTAAGCCACTAGGTCCAGGACTCGAACTGTGGTCGACTATATGGGAGTCCAGCAGCATAGCCATTATGCCAACAGCTGGTCCCCTATATTATATAATTTCTTTCAATGATGTTTTCTAGTTTTGAAAACATAAGTTTTGAACACTTCTTTTATTCATTACTATTTTTTGTGAGTGACTTCTCTCTGCTTGGAAGGTATCATTGATACTGGTCACAGCGAAGTGGCTGATAAATATGCCTATTTTAGTATAAGTTAAACACGCAACTTGGAAAGGCAGTCTCTGATAAAGTATATTTTTCCAACAGGCATAATAAGTTTCTTTTATTTGAGAGGTCTTCAAAAACTTCACGGAAAAGGCACATTATGGAAGAGCCATACATGCGTTTCAAACATTTTCTTCCTCAAAATAAACTGGTACTTTCATCCCATTTCCCACAGTCTTTTGGAAGTGCCCTCATGTCCCTTTCCCTGCTATCGAGAAAAGCTGTGGCATTAGGCATTTTCCCTTATTGGATTGTTGGGTGATATCGCACCTTATTTCCAAAGCGTGTGTCAATAACCCTTGGCAGGTGAAGTCGTCAGAATGGCACATTAACTCCTGATCAAGGGAGAAAAGAAGTGGAGAGGGTGAATCAATCGTACAGTGCCTTTATTTGGTAAAGCCTTTCACCACGGAGTAGAAAATGGGGTCAATGGTAGAGTACTAGAATGCCATTTCCAAGTGACCGCTAACGTTGTCACCATTTTAATTACTACTCTGATATTTGCAGTGGAAAAGGATTTGTTTGAGGGCTCAGCACTGCAATTGTAGCTAGCAAAATTTTTCTAGATTCTTCTCTTTGGTGGTTACTTATTATCATGACGGAAGACTAAGCTGGTACTCTGATGAGCCTAATGAAGAAGATTCGCTTTGCGTATTGACTTTGTGGGAACAGCTTTGTTATTGAGAACCGATATCTGAGTAGCCAAAGACTTTGAGTTAATTATTGGACCTCTTTGATACTGTTTTCTGTGTAATTGGAAGGGTTGGTCTTTAAGGGTATTTTTCTACTGTGCTGTTCTGTGACAGTAAATCACCCTGATTTCTTTCATATTCTGCCGGCAAAGAATGCGTTAGATGTTGTAAAAACATTGCCTCTACAAACAAACATGTTCCCTTGAGCGCTGAATGTTAAGTTATATTTTTAGATTTTTGTTTATTTGTTTTACTAGAAAGCACATGCATTTGCCATAGAGAGAGAGCGCGCGTGTAAGAGGGAGAGTGAGAACGAGAGTGCACGCACAAGTATACCCCAGTGGGGCACATGCCACTATCTCTTCTCCATTTTCCATCCTGTTAGGATTTGGGCCATGTGTGCCTACATTCCTAGTAGGTTTTCTAAGGCACCGGGGCCAGGATTTGAACTGTGTGGTTGAACTGTAGGGTCTAACATCCTTAACCACCAGGCCATGGAGCCAGCCAGAGATGATATATTTTCCTAAAGCAGCAAACCAAGAGTTTGGCTGACCAACCTTGTTTCCTTTAGTTTTAGTAACATAGCTATTTACTTTTAATTATGACAGCTTACCAAATTCCAAATAATTTAGCACGTAGAGGCTTTGAAATCACCCTTTAGTTTTTTCATTTGTGCTTTTTGAATAAAATTCTGGTAATTTAATATTCCATTTGTTGCTTAACATATAGTATCACTATATATATCTTTATTTTTGAGAGAGAGAGAGGGATTTTTGCTATGGGACACGTGTACTCATCGGAGAGACAGAGAGAAACAGAAAGCGAGAAATCACCTCCCAGAGGAGGGTGGCCATGCTGCAATCCCTT